TCATTAATAAATAAAAGTAAATTGTAACTATAACAGTTAATTAATAAAATAGAATAATGAAGATATGAGAGAGAGTTTGTTACCACTCTTATCTTAAAATAATTTTTATATTTTTATTTTAAATTTATTTTAAATTAATTATTATTTTTTATTTTTAAAATAAATAAATATTTTTTTATTTTAACCTTATTCTTATTTATTTGTTTTAATTAATTATTTTATCACAAAAAAATCTCTTTATTTTTTTAAGTAATATAAACAGACACATTTATCACAAATCTTTAATTAAAAAAATAAAAATAAAAATTAATAGTTATTTTGATACATAGCATAGAAGTATCGATTTCTTTTCCGATGTTTATGTACATTTTTGCTTCTCCAGCTTTCAGACTTTCCAATTCCTAGGAGGCAATTTCCTCATGAAAAAAATAGTCCTCAACAACCAGACACTTGTATTGTTTGTCTTGTTAACAATATGCTTTCATTGTGCTTTTATTGTTATGATGAAAAGAGATGATACTTTTCTTCAAATTTTCCACACAAAATGGACAAATATCAACATAACATCGTGAATGTTTTACTTTTCACACGTTAAGATTTATTTTCACAGATAAAGTTGTCTCAATTAGCTGGTCCTACCCATTACTTATTTTCAAAAAAAAAAAGGTTAAAACCCCTTTTTGGTCCCTAAACTATTGTACGGACCCCCGATTTGATCCCTGAACTAAAAAAATCCCTGATTTGGTCCTTACTGTTTACCATTTTTACCCCGATTTTGTCCTTCCGTCAAATATCAACCTACGTGTCCCGTTACTTGACGGGGAAAACGATGACCTGTTAAAACATTTTGACACCTAGGATGTACAGTGTGAAAAAAAAAAAAAAGAGATGGCAAGAAAAAAAATGTTAAAAAATTTCTTATTCCTTTTTTTTTTCTTCGTTTGTTTTTTCCTTTTTGCCTTTGTTCTTCCTCTCTCTTTCCTTTAACCTTCTTCTGCAAACCCTAATTCCTAATATTAAATTCGAGGATAACACAACAAATCAACAGATTAAACTCAATAGATATTTGACCCAAGGGCTGTTGGGTTCGAAACGAAACCCAAAACCTCACTTGTAGGAACTCAGCAGCTGCTCAAACCCACCTCCTGCTGGGTTCAATTTCGAACCTAGCACCTGCAAACGAACCCAACACCTGCAAAAACCTAGCATTCGAAATTGAAAAATCGAACCCAGCATCGAACCCCAACACCTAACACTTGCAGTAATGCCTTCTTCATCTTCATCAATCAATTTTTTCATCACAATCAAACAACAAAATCCAAAAAACAAAAACAGAAATATTTTTTTTTAAAATTTTTTGCACCTGGGTTCACAAGGAACCCAAGCGTGCTTGGTTTGTAGGAACCCAAACGTGAACCCAGCACGCTTGGGTTCCTTGCGAACCCAGGCATGCTGGGTTCGGTGTGAACCCAGACGCGAACCCAGCACCAGACGCGAACCCAGCACCAAACGCGAACCCAACACCAGACGCGAACCCAGCACCAGACGCGAACCCAACACCAGACGCAAACCCAGCACGCTTGGGTTCCTTGCAAACCCAGGCGCTGGGTTCGCAAGGAACC